GCTAACTTCCCTATGAGCTCTTTCCACTCTGAACTCGATGTAGCGAATAGCTCTGTTGGCAAAGGACTTAACTTTTAAGTCTAAAACTCTTCTTATACCCTCGTTCGAAAAGACAGCTCGAGGATCTTGAGTAGTCTGTCTTACGAARCGATGATGCAGAAGATTCATCGACTCTGGTGATAGAATTGGCGGATTGGTTGACAGGCTTTCTTCTCTATCTTGATACATATATTGATGGTTATTTTCCATCATTACTGGCTCCCTGGTAGGCACTTGAGGTCTTCTCCTCATTGATTCCATGTTCTGAAGTATTTCGTCCACTAGGCTCTATGGAGGATGGCCCAAGGAGGAGGGAATATCCGCTTGCACCACGGGTTGTGTTTTGGTTGTTTGGGTGGTTTCAGGTTCATGGGTTTCTTTTGGTTGTTGGGGTGATGAAGGAAGAGTAGTCATAGGTTCTGGTTGTTGGGTTGTTGTGGGCTCTGATTGTGTGGGTGAAGTAGGTTGGTTTGAGGGTTCTTGTAATGTGGGTGAAGGAGGTTGGTTTAAGGGATCTTGTAGTGTGGGTGAAGTAGGTTGATTTGTAGGTTTTGGTGATGTGGAGATGATGAATAGTTGAGTTGGTCGAGGTGTTGGTGAAGGGGTTAAGGGTAGGTTTGTTTGTGTTGGAGGGGTAGTAGGTTCTTCATCGGATGCTGAGCTCAACGCGATGGGTTCTGTTGGGGGTTGTGGTTGAGTGGATGATGGTTGTGGTGCAGCGAAATGTGTTGCATGTGCAGCCACCGTTGTCTCCCCCTCACGAGGGCCAAGGCCTTGATCATCGGGGTCTTGGTCATCATGTCTTCTTCGTTTCTGTGGACGGCTGCTCGAGCATGAGGCATGGGACCTCTTCTTCTTTTTGTTCCTCCTGAGGGATTGAAGATACGCCCTCAGGGCTGCCTTTTTGGTGGTCTCCTTCATCAAACGAAGGAGAGTTGAAGTTCGTTGTTGTTCATCGATCAGCGTTGTAGTGAGAGCCCTTGTTGGTTGGATGGCTCGATGAACAAACTTAGTGCTGATCTCGTTGAACTCTGTTGATGAGTGCTCTTGACAGAGCTTGCATGTCCGCCCTGGTGGCGAACTCTGTTGATGAGGTGGAGGCTTGGGGGTGTGGTGGCATAGTTGATGTGGAAGAGGGTGGTGGTATGGGAAGGTTGGTGATTAAGTTTCTCACCT